GGCGAATCTCTACGAGATTCAGATCAGTCTGGTCCACATAGCAAGTTCCAGGCCAGCTGGGGTTACAGGGAGACCCTGTCTCAATAAATAAATAAATAAATAAATAAATAAATAAATAAATAAATAAATAAATTCTGATTTGAGGGTAGTGTTTCCACAAGGAGTTTTGGTTTCTTTGGGGGTATGGATTAAGGCTGAGTTCTCTTGGGTCATCACTTCTCAGTTCTGACAAGGAATTTCTTGGCTCCATTGCCACCTGGTTGGGACTCAGGCAGAAGATACCTTCCCATTTTTCTCCTGAGGTGTGATCATTTCTGTCCCTAGAAATCCCATGAGGTCCCTGAAGATGTGGCTCTACTTGGACAGGGGATGATAGATAAGGTGGAGTTCTAAATGATCCCTAAGAACAAATAAAATCAGCACTAGATTTTGTGGAAGAGATGGGGAAGAGGGAGAGACTGTTCAGAAGGGTCAGAATTTGTCTTGTTTCCTGCTTTCCTGAGTTTGGTTCAAAGACTGCCAGTGAACTATGAGGAGAGATTGAACTAAGTGTCTAGCTAAATTCCTACCTGTCTCTAAAACTGAGTTGCAGAACAAAGAGGAAAAGAAAGAGCACTACCTTCTCCTCCACCTACACCTCAACCCTTGTGGTTCACTCTTAACACCAGCACTGGATAAGCTGCTAGGAGAGTTGGGTCTACTTCTTTCACAAACAATGTGCCCTTTTTAAAATTTTAACTATAAAATTAGTGGATAGAACTCAGACGAATCTCTCAGGTACCATGAAAAATTAGCCATCTGTGATTCTGTCAGGTGTGGAACTGTCGTGTGGGTCTACACGCATATAAGGGCAGCATCTCTGCTCCAAGTAGAACAGATTTTTCCAATTGTGTTTCTTTCTCCACTGAATGCACCCCTATTCTTCCTTTCCACTCTTCTCCCTCCCTTTCCTTTTCCTCCTTTCCCTTCTCCTCCCTTCCCTTCTTTCACTGAGTCTTTTCACTCAAACATGACCCAGTCATTGAAAGTCCCCCATCATCCAGGATCCTAGTCAGGAAGGCTTTATATAGAGGAAAGCAGAATCCACTTTGCTATTCCTATGGCAGAAATCTTGTCAAAATGTTCACTATTTACTACTCAAATTGTACTTCTGATGTACCTCTGAAAAGGAATGGTGGAGGATCTTGGGAAAACCCAGGAGATCCCTGGCCAACCATTATCTGATATCATGCCAAGGGGCCAGTCCTCTTAGTTCAGGGATAGCCTTCAGCTGTACTGGTTCTAGAAATGTTATGGTTCAGAGACACTTAACCCAAGAGCCTACTTGACTTTGGCTTTGATAGTTCATATCTCAGGGCTCCTCAGGACAAGTGTACATTTCTGGAGGGTAGTTTAGTGAAAGAACATTTGCCTAGCATTCACGAAGTCCTAGGTTAGATCCCTAGCACTGAAAAAAAAGTTGCTTCTGTGACTCCAACCAGATGATGGATCCGGGAATCTATTTGCTTGACTAAGTTTGAAAAATCTGAATAGTTTTGCTGAACAATATTCTGTCTAAATTATTCTAATCTTTTGGATTTCCCTTGTATTTGGGTGATTATAGGAATGCTATGTTCAAAATACTGCCAGATACTATGCCAAGATCTATGCTGCTGAAGCACAGCCTCTGGAAGGCTTCGGAGAAGTGCCAGAGTAAGTGTGTTAACCTGTCTCATGTTACCTACCACCCCTGACCTGTGGTTGTAGAGGGCCTGGAGGGATAGGAGAGTGAGAAGGACCAATAGCCCAAGTGTTTCATTTGGTCTTTCTGACTATAAGCTCTGCAAAGGATCACGTGGCTGCTGTTCTTAATTTCATAAGAAGTATAAGACAATGCCTGATGGATATTGTTCTTTTAAAAATGTATTAACGTGTGTGTGTGTTTGTGAGATATTTGGGGGAAGGCCTATGTGCCATGGTACATATGTGGAGGTCAGTGGACAACTTTTTGGAGTTGGTTTTCTCCTTCCACCTTTAAGTGGTTCTGGGGATCAAACTTAGGTCATTAGGTTTGTGTGGCAAGTATCTTTATGCACTGAAAATCTTACCAGCCACAATAAGTATTATTTAGGTAAATGTATGTGTGAATGGAAGAGTGGGTTCTACCTTACTAAATAGATACTGTGGTATCTGCCATGTTAAATAGAAAATAAGATGTATCCTCTCTCAGGTATGACTTTCATTGTTTTGTCTAAACAATAAATAAATGGAAGAGAACAAGAGAACAGTCACAGTACAACTAGCCACATGAGAAGAAGGAGCTATGGTGACATGGTAGCAAAGAGGACTGTGAGATGAGTTCGCTATAACTGCGTACCCACTTCCTGGGATTCAGTGGGCACAAATTATACTGATTATTCACCTGTTGCCTAAATATTTTTGGCCTCAGCAAGTTTTGCCTGGAGCCTGTATGTATTGACTTGTTTCTGTGGATAAAGTCACATTTGCATGCTAAGTAGAAAAAGGGCCATGCCAGGAGACGTTGGAAATGCTGGGCAGAACAACCATTTATACATCAGTAAAAACTAGGAGGGAAGAGAAAGAAGGAATTCTTGTGTGTATTGCCCCTGATCACTCACAGTTACTCTCCCTTAGGCAGTGTGTTCAGCAGACCAAGTAGGAAGTCTAATACTTTCTGTTCCTTGTCAAGGAATGCTTATCATAGAGCATAATTTCTCCTACAATCTTTAGAATTCATTTTATATGCTCTTAACCCTCCTTATTTTTTTCTATTTGTTTTTCCTTTTCTATTATTCACCTGTTGAGGGTTTTCTCTACATTCATTACTGAATTAAAAGGCGTGGATTTACTTTTTTGTTGTTTCTTTCATTTTTGAAGTTTCTATTTCATGTTATAGGACCTTCCACAGACTACTCGTTAGTGAACTCCTCCTTCTTCATACTTAAATGGAAATAAAAATGACGTAAAGAAGTGATAGAACTGCAAGTTACTCTTATGACTTATAATACAAAATAAGAACCCAATTTAATTATTTATTTATGCTCCTTTCAGAAACATAAGGCAGGTAATATAATTCAAGAGTGGACTAAGTCACATAAATACTGATAGGTAGAGAATGGGCGGGAGCAAGCAGGCGGCGCAGATGGAGGAAGGCACGAGCAGATGGATGAGGCACCGAGGCTCAGATGGAATTCTCAGCGGGACACAGATTTATTTCGCACGGGGCACCTTTCCCTTGGGGAAGGGAAAGATGTCAGGGAACGGAAGGGAAGGGAAGGGAAGGATGTCAGGGAAGGGAAAGATGTCAGGGAAAGATGTCTGAGAAAGATGTCCGCCCACAGGTTGTGAGCTGGGACTTTATATATGGGGGCTTTAGGGTGTGGAAGGGGGAAATGTTTGGGGGAGAAATCAGGGAGGGGGAAGCAGGTAGGATTAGGGTGTGGAAGTGTCTTCTTTTTCCCTCTTAAGAGGAGAGAAAAACAGCTTCTAAAATCTCTGGTTATCAGGTAGAATCTGCTTATCTTTGGAGGTCAAAGGAAAGGCAGGCTGCTTCTCAGCAGAGTTTGTTTCCCTTGACTCCAAAGGTCAAGGTGAGGTCCCTGTTGGGGAGGGGGGAAACTGCTGTTCTTTGGAACCCTAACAAATACCTACTGTGAACCTCCAAATATAAAGACTTTTTAATAGAAATGAGAATTTCCAAAATGTCTTGAAGAAGCCAGAAAACAGCATAAGACTACAATTACATTACATAGTAGTAGATATTGTAACAAAAGTTAAAAACAGTAAAATAACAGGCTCACTACTGAATGTAATCTAGCTTTGTCCAAAACATTGCATTTCTGTTCTCTATATCAATGAAGATACACAAGAAGGTGGAAATTTTGCCAAATAATTTCATGAATCATAATTCATAATTCTATCATGATGAAAATAGGCATTTAATAAAACTCAAATGTCATGTCTAATAAAAGCTCTAAATAAAATAAGAACAAATGTTATATTATTTAAATGAAATAAAGAATTTTTAATAAAATTGAAAAAAGAGAAATGCTTCACATACTGATTTAGTACACACACATTCATCAGCAACTTTAACAAAATTAATATAACACCAAAGAAGAAAAACATAACTCCTTAGGATTAAATACTAAGCTAGTAGTTGGAATGAGTTCAGTTTTGTCTTGTAAGAACTTGTCTGTTATCTCTCCTGCTCCCTGTTTTCCCAGCCTCTGTCCTCTTAAGATTGAGCCTATAACCAGAATTTTAGTGCAAAAGCCTATGTTTAGGCAGCTCCAACAGGCTAGGCTTGGACACCTGTCCCAATTTGACCAGTAATAGTGAAAATCAGGGAAAGGAGATTTAACCGATGTATTGAGTAGAAGAACAGATAAAGGGGTCCAGTGACACCAAATTCATCCTTGGGACTACTTACAGGGGCTTTAGGTTTAAATGCAGGAAGAACTGTAGTGGGGGGAGGGCGTTGTATGCATAACTAAGCAATGAAGGGGGCCAAGCCTATGCATAATTAAGTAGCCCTGATCAAGGTGGTTTTCCTTGATCAGTGTCACAGTTCTGTTTTGGCAAGGTGGTTCACCCAAAGCCATCCTTAAGGGTATCAGTCTGGTTACACAACCATATCAGGTGCAGCCTCACTTTCCTGGATAATTACCTTCTCTGGGTGGGGGTACAGCCTGTCCTGGCAGACTTTGCTGTTTCTGGAATCCAAGGTTTAAGATAATGACTTATCTCTGTGTTTTCAGCCTTGAAATGGAATGAGATAGGTTAGGTAGACAGATAGATGTTACTTGAGTGTTTAACATGTCTAGGCAAAGCTGAGCTGGGGTCTGGCCCCAAGGAAAGGAGACAGACACAAAATGAAGGTGGAGCTGCCAGGCTTTCAGTCTACCTTTTGTTACCTTATGGGCCCAAGTGAGGAATCAGTACTTTTAAGAACTGACTTTTTTTTTTTATTACATTTTAATTTATTTCTTTTATGCGAGTTTGTGTGTGTGTGTGTGTGTGTGTGTGTGTGTGTGTGTGTGTGTGTGCGTGTGTCACAGTAAGCATGTGGAGGTCAGAGGACATTCAGGAATTGGTTTCCTCCTTCTACCATGTGGGTCCTAGGGATTAAATTCAGGTCATCAGGCATGGTGGCAAGTGCCTTTACCTGCTGAGCTAACTTGTCAGCCCTCAAAAGCAGTTTCTAAGTGCCTGTTATAAACCACTAATCTGTCTACCACATGTAGAGCCACTGTGTCTTCCAGCAGGGGCAGATCTAAGTTTTGTGATACTTGACTTCTAAACTACTTAGGGCCCTTTAAAAGGAAAAGAAGATATTATGGATATCAAGATGGATCTAGGGACTTGGCAAGTGTGGGTGTAAGTCAGGGGCAGGAACTTAATGGGTTTCATCAGTATCCATCAAAGAGACCACAGCCCTAAAGATACATGAGGACATTTTCCTATCAATGAGAGAATTTGTGAGCGCATGGGTGAGTGATTATAGTTTCTGTAGAAGGGTAAACATCCTCAGAAGGGAATCTAGGCCAGATCACGAGAATCTAATAGACTTAGAGAACTCTATATCAGAAATACATGCATGCATGCACTGAGCTGGCCCTGCACATTCCCACCCTTCTCTGAATGCCCACACTTCTGGGACCAGAAGGCTCTGGACCCACAGTTGTCCTCCATGTTTACTTCCAGAAGTGGGCCTGAAGCAAGTTTTCTTTTAGGGAGTATTTGGGACCTTAAAGAGAAAACACTGCACACTCCCTGCAGTTTCTGTTTTTGAATTCATGAATAATAATGGATCACATTGCCTACGCAAATGGCATCCCACTGGGCAGAGATCAGGCTAATTGAGACTGTGAGCCCTTGTTTCTGCTCCCCTCTCCCTAAAGGCTATAGGATTAATAAGAACCCGGACAGACCTTGAATCCTTTTTTTTTTTTGGTGGGTCATTGGCTAGAGGGAATGTTCAGAAGGTCCCTGGAGTCTTGCAAATGTGACAAAGCATGACAGACAGAGGCATGGAGGCTGACTGCCCCCTTGGTATTTCTTTAACAAGACACAAAGACTTCTGTGGTGGTTTGAATGAGAATGTGCCCCATAGGTTCCAAGTATTTGGACATTTTATTCCCAGTTGGTGGCACTGTTTTGGGAGGTCTCAGAAGGTATGACTATACTGGAGGAAGCACAATACTGGGGGTGGGCTTAGAGAGTTCTTAAGTCGTATTCTTGCTTCCTGTCCCTGCTTGAAGATGTGAGAGCTTAGTTTCCGCTCCTCCTCCAGCCACCTCTGCCACCATGCCTCCCCGCCATGATGGACTCTTGCCCCTTTGGAACCGTAAGCTCAAATAAACTCTTCCTTCTATACATTGCTTTGGTCAGCGTTTCTGTCACAGCAACAGAAAAATAACCAATACAACTGTCATTCTAAAATGGAAAAAAGAATGCTTTAAGAGTCCTTTTCATTTGCTATTCCTTCTACCTGGAATGTTTTTTTCTTTAAGATCTCCTCATGGCTGCCTTCTAGTTTCCTGCAGGTGTCTGCGCATATGTTCTTTATTAATCAGCAAGTACTCTGACCTCTGACTCTAAATAGAATGACAGCCCCGTTCCTACTCCTGTGCTGTCTCCATTCCATTCTACACACACACTTGAAATTAATGACAAGGGGGAGTTTCTAAGCAATTCCAGAAACAAATAAAAGCAGAAAATGGGTTCCTTGCTCCTTAAGTAATAATTGAGGGCTCTGAAAAATAAAATAAAATGCAAGATGGAATGGAACCCAGGGATTGATTGTGCTGTGCCCTGCTGCTCCAGTAGGGGGATGCCTAGAAACTTGTGTTCCCATCTGAGAACTTGATGTGTGACCCTGCTCTCCTGCTCTCCTCCCTACCAGAATCATTCCTATTTTCCTCATCCATCGGCCTGAGAACAACATCCCTTATGCCACAGTGGAAGAGGAACTGATTGGCGAATTTGTAAAGTATTCCATCCGAGATGGGAAAGAAATCAACTTCCTGAGAAGAGAGTCAGAGGCTGGCCAGAAATGCTGTACCTTCCAGCATTGGGTATACCAGAAAACAAGTGGCTGTCTCCTGGTCACTGACATGCAGGGTGAGCAGAGTGGCTTGACCCAGCTCCAGGGATGCTGTGGGCCTGGGGTATTCCTGAGGGTAGGAGAAAGGAAGGGAGGGGAATTAAGGAGAAAGAGCGGTCTGCTGGGTACTTATAAGCATCTTCTCCCCAAGAAGGTATTATTCATGTTCCCTTTTAAACAAGATTTGACAGTGAATTCTGAAATGACTGACCAAGTAGAGTACTAAAATTCATTTCAGCAATTGTATCAATAATGCCTTCTCATTACAAATGTTAACCAGAGACTTGGTTTCATTGTTATATCTGAAAGATTCAGAAGGACACGTGAAAGTCCACATGTACCCCCAGAGATAAACTGAGATGTAGTATTTATTTCTCAATAAATGAAAGTATCTTTAGAATCTTCAAATGTAATCTTTCTAAAGGTTCCCTGCTGAATTTGCATTGCGTTTTCAATGTGTAGAAAAAATTTTTAGGAGTACTGCTTCCTATATGAAGAGGCGTTGTCATAATTAGGATTCTTCTGGGAATAGATCTGACACAAATACAGTTTTGGTATTCTCGAGATTGGTTCCAGGATGTCTGTGGATATCCAACTTCCTAGATGCTCAAGTCCTTTGTATGAAATGGCACAGTATTTGCACATAACCTCTGCATATTCTCCAGCATACTTTGAATCATCTGTAGATGACTTCTAACGTCTAATACACTATGAATACCCTCTAAGACAGTTACTTTGCTGCATTGGTCTGTACATGTTCAATACAGATTCAGTTTTGGTTTTGGTTTTTTTTTTTTAACATTTTCAGTCCACACTTAGTTGAATTTGAGGATGCAAAAACCCACAGATGTGGAGGAAGGCCAGAGAGCTACTGTCTTAGGTACAGATAGTTCATTTGGGAGAGGATCCCAGGAAACAGTGGTAGAAGAATGAGGGAAGGGCGATTCCAGAAAGGCAGACAGTCAGTTTTATGTGACTACATAGCTAGTTACTACCATGGGCAACAGGACTGTTCTCTACTAGTAGCCTGCACTGAGCACACTTCCCAGAATTACCTCCCATGAGTCAGGAAACAAGGGTGTTTGTCCACAGCCCCCATTAGCAGTAGCTGAATGCTGCTGGTGGAGGAGGCATTGACTCCCCACACTTGCCTCCTGTCACATAGGCAAGATGTGCTGGGCAGAGCAGAAGCAAAGTTCTTAGGTAAAGATGGTACCTAGAGGCAGGGCCAGAGTGTTCAGAAGTGGCTGAGGTAGGGACCATGGTGGGCCACCAATAGCTTCTGTCTGCGGATTTCCTTGTTCCTTTTTCTTTCCAAATAATAATACCACTGAGAAAAATCTGAACTATATCAGCTGATGACCTGAGGTCACATACAAGGACACCAAGCTCTAATAGCCCCCAGGGTTTGTTTCTAGAACTATCACTTCCTAGTTGTCAGCCTTTTGGGAAATGTTTCACCTCTCTGAGCATTCACATTTTCCACATGGGGCTGTTTTGAGGATTAAATGAGATAGTAAAGCATTTACTGAAGCATGGCTTCATAATAAAGTGCTCTCAATGTTTAAAAACTCTGCATTCTGAAATCATCATAGACTTCTAAGAATTTAACAAATACAAAGCAGATGTGGTGACACATACCTATAATCCTAGTGCATGCAGGTAGAGGCAGGAGGATCAGAAGTTTAAGATCAGCATGGAACTGGGGAAATGGGCAGCAGGCCCCAACCTTAGCCAAAGAATTATTGGCAGCTGATTACTGCTAAGTGAGGGAGAGCTGATCTTCTTTAAGGGAGTGACTCCCTTAAATAGACTAGATAGACTGACTAGATCCCAGTGGATGAACTTACACTAAGGTATGTATAGGTACATTATCTTGACTCGATAGGCCTTAACATAAATGACAGAATGCATGAAATCGGTGTGGGGGGGGGCGCTATGGGAGAGTTCAGATGGGGGAGGGGTTATAAAGATGAATAAAATATAAGATATTTTGTATGAAATACACAAAATTTCAATTAAAAAAAAAGATCAGCCTGGGATTGGGGGGGGGAGAGAGAGAGAGAGAGAGAGAGAGAGAGAGAGAGAGAGAATGCAAAAATAAACAGAAGCAGAGACATCCACACAAATCCTTTACCGAGCTTTGCCTGATCACATCTCAGCTGACTCTTGAACTAATACACTAGTGAGGCAAACTTAGATTTTCCCCAGTTTTTCAATGTATTCAGTTTTTCTACTGTTTTTATTTAATCTTCATAATAACCCTATATAGAATATATTATGATCCCTGCTGTACAAATGAGAGAATTGAGGATCAGAGACAGTGGTTTAATTGCTGACCATCAGCTAATAATTTTAGAGGTGTCCAAGACTCCAACCTATATTTTCTGACTCTGAACCCCACACTTTCCCCCATGAAGTGACAAATGAGCAAATCTGCAAGAGATTTACTCCCAACCTTTCCAAGTGTCCTCAACATTAAAAGGCTATGGTGTATACATATCTTCCCGAAGGCTTTGAGGGACCCCTTGCAAGTAAGCTGAGACAGTAATTTCTGTCTGGTGGATGAACTGATCTGCCAGATTAAGGCAGAGACAGGGACTTCACACAGACACAGAGACACAGACACAGATGCACACACACACACACACACACACACACACACACACACACACACCATTCTGACCAATTATTCTGTTCTGATTCTGGTTCTTCCCAAATTTTTTCCCTCAGAGTTAATTTTGCATTAAATGTATTTTGTCTACTGAGAAACAGCACCCTGGAGCTTCATGCAGAGCTAGCTTTGCTTCTGGGCACTAGTAAACAACTACAATGGAATATTACATCTCTCTGTAAATGTAATACAGAGATGTGCGTGCTTAATGTGTCACAGTGTTTCATAACAGTGTTTATTTACTGTCTGATGCTCAGAAAAATCTTTTTATTGCCATTGCCATTGTGGCATGAGTTCCCACATCATTCTATAAGTAGTGCCTCCACTTTGTTACACTAGAATTAAGGTTAAAAGTTATTGTCTGTGTTTGTTCATAGACGTTTGCTGGGACTGCAGGTTTGTAGGGTCAAAAGTGAGTACGTGATTTGGAATGGAGATCTGAGAGCTGCTGAGACCACTAGGCTTTCTAAAGACCCTCAAACTGAGACTCGGAGACTACACTCCTGGTGCTGCCAGACTCCCTTCCTTTAATCAGAAACAACCTGCAGGTCTCTGTTAGCTTCACCTCAATTTGATGAGTGCACACTAGAATTTAAATTATCCTCCTCCAGCAATCGTTAATAACCTTTGCTGAATTGTTGACAAATGATTAAACCAATAGAGAAAATAACCTATTTTTAAAATCTGTGTTCTCTTTTTTCTTCTTTCTGTTGTGTGTTTGAGGTGTGTGTGTGTGTGTATGCGCGCGCGAGCGCGCGTGCATGTATGGAGGTCAAAGGGCAACCTTGGGTGTCAGTCTTCACCGTCTACCTTGAGACAGGGTCTCTTTCTTATTTTTCTGCTCTGTACTCCAAGCTACCTAGCCCCCTGAGTGTCCAAGGACTCTCCTGTCTCTGCCTCCCATTTCCCCATAGGAGCACTAGGATTCCATTCACTCACACTACATGTTCAAGGCTTTTTTGGTCTTTTTGAGACAGGGTCCTCCTGTAGCCCCAGCTGGCCTAGAACTCACTATGTAGACCAGGCTGGCCTTGAACTCACAGAGATCTGCCTGCCTCTGCCTCCTGAGTGCTGGGATTAAAGGAGTGAGCCACCATGCCCAGCTACATGTCCAATTTTTGTGTGAGTTCTGAGGATTTGAACCTAGGTTCTCACATTTGTGTGGCAAGCAGTTTTGCCCATGTTGTCTTCTCCCCATCCCTCTGTATTCTGTTCTTCTAACTGAAAATGACAACTGGTAACTATGAGAGCAGGGAGAGCCCAAGTTCAAAGACCTGTTGCCAAATAAGTTTTTTTAAATTGCATTTTAATGCAACTTAGAACTGTGGTGTTTGGACAGGTCCTTCCATGAAACAAGATGACCAAAGAAGGATTTTGCAATTTGGCATCAGTTTTAAAAAATGTAGTTCCTGCAATAAAAGTAATGTGAAGCATTTCTCCGTATGTTTGAATTGTCAGCAGCTTTGAAAGAATGAGATGAATTAGTTACCAACTGTGAAAGGGGCTTTTAAAATGTTCACTGGCATCCCCAAAGTACCATGTCTAATTTTGCTCACAGGTGCATGGCAGAAAAGCTAGGCTCATTGCTTCTGCATGACTACCCAGTTTGAACAGTAACATGGCCAGCATTTTTACCATGCTCCAGGCAGACACTGCTGAGTCAGGGTAATACAGTTTCAGCTTGCCTTTCCTGGATCTCTGGAATAAGAGCCATGGAGCTAGGTTGCCATTTGATCTGATCCCAGGGTTAGCTTTAGGGAGATCTGGAGCCTTCTTCCACACCCCACACTGCTTTGTGAACTACCTGACCCTTCTACAGCCAAGTTTGTGGAAGGGATACCAGTGCTTATAGGCCAGTTTGTATAGGACCAGAGTCAGAAGCAAGTTGACCATGTCCAGCAGGTCAGACACTGGTGGGATGACATTATAGACACAGTGCTCTATAATAATAGGTCATCACTGGATTGCACAGGTGGGGTCCATTGAGGTGGGGCAAATACCTAGAGCCACAACGCTAGGAAGACAGATACAGAATAAATACATAGCAAGAAAATGCTAGAAAGGCTCAGGACCCTCCACACTATGGGCATGAGATTGATGTTATTCCTTCCTGCCAGATCCCAGAGAAGTTAAGGACGCAGGCTGAGGCCAGGTCAGAGGGAGAGAAGTTGGTTCTTTTTCACTACAGAAGACAAAGCCTGCTCATCTTTCTTACACTGGAAGGCAGTAGACTATTTTCCTTGTATCCCTGGCTCCCTAGCCCCTCTCCAGCTGCTCCCTCTTGGCAGCATAGGAACAGAAAGGGTCCTAAGTGCTTGGGTTTCTATCAAGGATATCTATGGCTTTCTGCTGAGTCACAGTAGGAAGCTCAGGGGCTGTTTTGTTGTTGTTGTTGTTGTTGTTGTTTGGGGTTTGGTAGTCCTTGTCACCACCATGATTTGATGGATAGAGTTATTAAAAGTATCAAAAGGTCAGGCCATGGATTCCAAATGTCATTGTTCCCAGGCCAATGGCTAAAAGTCTACCTATAACTTATGAATGCTTCCCTGGATCTTAAACAGATCCAGAAATTTTCTCAGCCAGGACGGGAAACTATTTAGTGGAAATGGAATATTGCATATGTGGGGTTTGACTTTGAATGGAGAAAATGTTACCTTGAACTTTCTTACTGTTGCTGTTGCCCAATGCAGCCCATGCCCATAACTCCTTCTGTTGTGTAAGGAGGAATTCGGGGTTAGACCTAAGGCCAAGAGACAGCATTTTTAGAGAGAGAACTCATGAGGAAAATGACAAGCCTTTGGGGCATCAGACGGCAGCCTGGTCCCTCCTCCATCCTTGGGGGAGATAAACCCGGGTAAAGCCTGACACGGTTACTGCTGCCTGTGTCACAAGTCTGCATTCCCTGTAGCAGGTGCATGTCAGAGGGCTTTGAGTCTCCTGAGCCCTGTAGGGTAGAAACCTGGAGGAGAGTGCACGTTGATGCAGGAAATGACAAACTGTCCCTATCACTTCTGGATCAGTAGATGGTCAATTCTTTCTGAGGCTTCCCTAGTAACGAACTGTTTGCTCTCTCTTTCCATAGGTGTGGGAATGAAGTTAACTGACGTTGGTATAGCAACACTAGGTAAAGGGTGAGTAGAAAAAATGGTGTCATTTAACACTAAGCTTGTGGGAAATGGTGTTTGGCTGCTGTTGGCAGAGCGAATTTCTTGTCTTTATTGTGGATGGCAAATGGTCTTGGGATGAATTCAATTCACTTCTCTCCTTAACATAAAATATTTATAGACTTTGTTCTCAGAGGGAAATACCAACTTTTCCTAACTTTGAAGCAAATAAGAACACTTGCAAACATATTTCCAGTTTAATTACTCATAGGAGTGCCATGGAGAAAAAAATATGACAGCATTATTGGGATGCATTTTAACTATGAAAATCCCATTTTCTATATTCAGTATCTTCTCTATTAAAAGCTTCTTGAAGATATTTTTGCAGTTTGGCACAATAAATTTTACTTGAATATTTTAATTAATTTTCCTCCAAAAACCCTTTAGGTGGCTCATAGGCACATGAGGTTGTTACAGCAGCTAACGGCCATTCAAGAACTATGGCTAGTTACTTTTTGTTGCTGATGATGCCTCCCTAACTGAGTGTAAAGATGTTGCTTTGCTCAGTTGCCTGCTCAGTTGACACTACAGTGATTTAGCAATGCATCTTCTTAAACAAATGGTCCATTTTACTGCTTCCTGCTTCCCTTGACTGCCTTTGAGGACAAAGTGACTATTTCTGATTCTTTTTTTTTTTTTTTAACATTTTGTTTATTTATTGTGTTTATGTGCGTGTGTGTGCCCTGTGTGCCACAGTGGGTGTGGAGGTCAGAGGACAATTTGTTGGAGTTGGTTTTCTCCTTCTACCATGTGGGTTTGGGGCTCTAATTCAGGTCATTAGACATGATGGACACCCTTACCTGCTGGGCCATCTTGCCAGCCTAATAGTCATGGTTCTTAATGAGAACAGGATTCTGGGGCTAGAGAGATGGCTCAGTGGTTAAGAGCACTGGCTCTTAACTTTGTATCCCAACCCAGCACCCACATGGCAGCTAACAACCGTCTGAAATTGCAGTTCCAGGGGATCTGACACCCTCTTCTGACCTCTGCAAGCACTGCATAAGATGGATGCACTCACATGCATGGAGGCAATGTACTCATACACATTAAATAAATAAATAAATGTTTTAAAAATGAGAACAGGATTCTGGTGGCACTGCCTTTGCCTTGCCCCAGATTGCTCTTCCCACATTTTAGGATCACTATAAGGAGGTGAAGAGGGGGCTGGAGATATAACTTAGTGGTAGGGTGCTTGCCTAGCATGTGTAAGGACCTGGATTCAATTATTAGTAGCAAAAAAGACAAGAAAGTAAAGGTGGCAATGGCTTTGGAGGGAAGGCCTTGCTTTAAAATGTGGGTTACATTATTATTGATTATGTGTCATGAGACCAAAAGATCAAGAAGCAACCACCATTGAAAAATAGTTTGTTATAGTTCTTAAGAAGAGGGGGTCTACTATTCCATAGAAAGGGTACATAAAGTTTGTCAGAAAGCAGAAGACATTTCTTGCTTAATTTAATATGTTCTTGGTTTGTTTTGTTTTCAGGAAGGCATGAGTGAGGTAGGGTAAACAGACTTAGAACTAGCTAGTATGAATAATTTCTGCTGGTTCTGGAGCAGAGAATTGGTCCCTGCTTGGGCAGTGGCTGTCCTGGGGTGATGAAGGCAGGTAGATAGTGGCTGTGAGTATGAGTCTGACAGAGGAGGTGGTGGGTTATGGGTTCTGGTTTACAAATAAGTCTGTTTTGAAAGGTAGGTCCCTGACTGTCTCAGGAATTGGTCAGTCCTGAGGTAGACAGTGTTTCTAGTGATAGTAAGGTGAGGCCTCAGATACAAAAGCATCCAAAATACAGAACATACAATGGCTCAGTGAACACAGCTTATTCTCCATTGTAAGACTACGTCGTTGACTCGAGCTTTCTGGATATTTCAGACCATCTTACCAGAAATCTGACAGATATGCTAATTCTCAGCTTTAATGAAGGATAGAGAAAGTAGAGACATTCCAGAAAATGGGAGAAAACCACTCTTTCTGTTAATCTCCACATCATGAAATGTGGTGGTTAATATTGTCAATCTCATGAAATTTAGAATCACATTGGAAACAAATCTCTGAGCATGTGTGTGAGGGAGTCTCTAGACTGGGTTAATTGAGTTAGGAAGACCCACCATGAAGTGAGAGGTACCTTTCCAAGGGTCACAGACTGAATAAAAAGGAGAAAGCAAGCTGGACACCAGTATTCATCTGTCTACTTCCTGGCTGCAGATACAATGAGACCAGTTGCCTCACACTCCTGCCACCCAGCTTTCCCCATCATGATGAACTGTACCCTCAAACTCTGAGCTGAAAATAAGCCTATCCTTCCTTAAGTTGCTTTTGTAAGGGGAAAAGTAATTGATAGAGTAAAATTGATTCATGAAGTTGTCATTGATAGCACAATTCTATCAATTTGACTTTAGAATCAAGATGCAGTTTGAATATTGTCCCCTAGTATATAGTTCCTTTTGAAGAATTGCTCTGTGATAATAATCTTTCATGTTGAAATGATCTCTCATACTCATTACACAGCACTGACCTGAGCATTGATTGTCATGGGCTTCAGAAAACTTGGCCATGGCACTGGGCTTGTGGAAGCAACATGTCTAAGGGATTATAATGGAATCGGGAAGGCATGGACTTTTGAGAGATTTGGTCTAAATCTGGGCCAGGCCACTTAACTTCTGTTTCTTCTGGTGGTGGCTTGGCTCTTAGCTTTGAAGCTATTTTTCTGATGAGTAGGATGACTAGACTTCCCAGTTTCTTCATGGCAGTACCATTTTGTGCCTGATATCCTTGTATGCCATCTAGTTTACCATTTATCCTGGACAAATGTTCCCATTTAGAAGATAATAGGTGGCATCCTGTTTATAAAGGCGTCTGGATATCAGGATAATTTCCCAAATGGAGTCTTTCTTTAAAGACTCCCTATGCTATGCAGGACAAGACAAACTTGGTTTGGTGTCCCATCATATTGCTATGTAGCCATGTAACTGGACATTATGGAAGCCACACCTCTCCAATATGGAGTCAATGTGGTTTTCCCTGAGGGATCTCCTGGTTATTCTATGTATAGACCCTGCATCTGGGTAGTATAGACCCTGTAGCTGGGTAGTATAGACCCTGTAGCTGGATAGTGTAGACCTGCAGTTGGGTAGGAACTTGTTAACCACTAGCTCCCTTCTCTCATGCTTCAACCTGACATCAGATACACAAATTCCAGACCATTATTTACAAGAATCCTCTACTGAAACAAAGCCAAAGACTGCTCAAGAAGTTCCAGAAACCAAGATGGGCTTAAGAGCATTGTGATTTAAGACATCTTTTAGAAGCGTATCATCAGCCTCCAGGAACCAGGCCTCAGAGAGTGCCAAATGGCACTTTCTCCTCTTCCTAATTTAAAAAGAAATTCAATCCCTTGGTTTTGTTCTCAGTTTTAATGTGACTTATCTGGCCTGGGATAGCTGCCCAAGGCCCATTAGAAGAGCGGACGGCTGGAGCCAAGGGCAAAATGCTGCCTGTAAAGTGTAACTTATCACTGCTTTCCCACCCAAGGAGAAGTGGGAAGGGAGTTCTGAAGTGTTTGAGAACTTCAAAAAGGATATTAGGTCATTTTGTCTGTGTTTTGCAAAGTTTTCTTTAGAAGTTTCAAAGAAAAGTCATGTTTTACACACACACACACACACACACACACACACACACACACAAAAACAAAACAAAACAAAAAAAACCCTGTATCTTAGAAGCTTGATTTGAAAACTTGATAAAAGGGGAACTCCTCCCCTCAGAGGATGAGGAGTACTCGAGAGGCCCCTTTACAGCTTCCTTAGATCACCCCCTGGCCCCTGCCCCCCGCCCCCCATGATTGCAGTGAATGGTGATAAAGACTACCATCCAGGCTCCAGGCTTCCCAGCCTCCCTCAGGAGCAGAGTAAGGCTAGCAGGGACTGGAGTGACTTAGGAGAGGAGAATAAAGACCAGGAATGGATGGGTGAGGAGGGGTATCAATAGCACTCACAGCTTGAAGGAGGATGGGGGGAGGAGGCCAAGCACCTTTGAAGTGAAGGGCTTGATCACCAATACTGGGAAGCAAGATTTGACTGGATAAACTCTCCCCACAAAACCAAAGCTGCAAATGGAGGAAAAACAATGGCAGCAGACTAGGAAAGGGCTCAAGTTGGACATGCTTTGCAGATAGAATGAGAGATGTTCAAGTGGGATGTCAAGGAACAGGAAGAAGAAAAAGAAGAGAGTGTGGCAGGCTTTTAGGGTACAGGAGAGGAGGTCAGTGAATAAGGATCGAGCAGACAGAGATATTTTCTTTATTCTTAGCAAGTTTAGTTTATTCATGATGGAAAGTTCTATGTAAGACTGGTAGCACTTGACTGTGGAGAAGGACACAATCACAAAAATCGAGTTCTGTGCCATTTAGAAACATATTCCCAGGCTCAGTTGGTAAAGTGTTTGCCTTGCAAGAATGAGGACCTGAGTTCAGTCCCCTAGAGTTCATTAAGAAAAGCTGATCATGGTAGTGCACACTGCTAATCTCACTACTGCAGGGACTGGGAGCAGAGAAAGGCAGATCCCTGGAGTGTGCTGGCCAACCAGCCCAGCCTACTTAGTGAGTTCCAGGCCAGTGAGAGACCTTGCCAGAAATAAAAAGGTGAACGGTACCTGAAGACTGATGTTCTTCACACCCATGTGCACAGACGTGCATGTGTATCCACACACATATATGCATCTGTGTACACATGAGTACACATATACACATACATTTCCCTATGTCTCAACCTGCACCATGTATTTATATACATGCAACCTACCTTGTTCTTTAATGAGGTTAGACATGCTTTAATGAAAATTGTGATACTATTTGGTGAATAAATAGGCTATTTATAATCTCATAAGAGAAAATAAGGAACTTTTATGACTCGTTCATTTCAACTTTATTTATTATGAAACAACAAATACTGTGTCACACTCCTCCTGT